TTAGAGAATATTGCTACCTCCTTTAAGGGGCCCTGGCTCATTACGGGTGATTTTAATGAAATCCTTACTCAAAATGACAAATGGGGAGGTAGGAATATAAATAATAATAGAAGTATGAATTTTAGGTCTTGTATTAATAACTGCAATCTCATTAACCTCGGTTTCGAGGGGAGTAAATATACCTGGTCTAATCACCATAGGGGTAATAAAGGTCTTATTCTCGAAAGATTAGATCATTTTTTTGTTAATAACTTGTGGTTAGAAAGCTATCCTAATGCCTCTCTCACCCACCTGCCAAAAACTCATTCAGACCACAATCCTCTACTTCTTAGGCTTACTAACCCCCATAGAACGCCTACTATTAAACCCATTAGGCTAGAAAAATTTTGGGTTAACCATCCAGAGTTCGGAAATATTGTTGCTCAATGTTGGTAGGATAGAAATCTTATGGACTCTATCTCTATCTTCCAAGTAGAGGCTACCAACTGGAATAGGAGAACCTTTGGTAATATTTTTCACAAAAAAAATAGAATCCTTAGAAGGTTGGAAGGAATCCAAAATTCCAAAGCTTATCCTTACAGTAGCTTCCTCCAGCATCTTGAAATTTCTCTAACCCAAGACTACAACAATTGCCTTAAAATTGAGGAAGATTTTTGGAAAATCAGATCCAGAATTAATTGGCTCAATGATGGAGATGCCAATACTAAATTCTATCACCTTTCTGTGATTAATAGGTGGAGGAATAATAGAATTTCTTATTTTACTGACGATGATAACAACTGGATCACCGACCATTCCAGAATTATTGATCATGTCTCAAGTTTCTACAAATCCATCTTCACTACGGACCATGTTTGTTCTAATAAGACTAGCATAGAAAAGGCAACGAAGAGCTTCCACAGGCTAGATCTTTCCCCCTTGGACTGCCCTCTCTAGGACTCCGTTACTCAAGAGTTATTCTCCTTTAAACCGTTTAAAGCTCCGGGTCCCGATGGACTTCATCCCCATTTCTTCCAAACCCACTGGGATAAAATAGGCAAATCTGTCCTTCTATACTGCCACCACATCTTTCAAACCCAATCTATTCCGGAAAATCTTAATAACACTCTCCTATGCTTCATTCCCAAGTTTAAAAATGCCAACAATCTCAAGAACTTCCGTCCTATAGGGCTTTGCAATACTGTCTATAAAATCATTATGAAAATCATTGCCATGAGACTTAAGCCTTTCCTAAATGACTTAATCGGGCCTTTTCAAACCAGATTCCTTAAAGGAAGGAGGCTTGTGACAACGCCATTATCATTCAGGAGCTCATGAATTACCTTAATCGTTCCAAAAACAAAAAAGGTATTGTCATGGTTAAGATCGATCTTGAAAAATCTTTTGATCGGATCAAATGGTCTTTTGTTTACAGAACCCTTCAACACTTTAAATTCCCTCCAAAGTTTAGTAAACTCATCATGAGTTGCATCACTACTTCCAACATCGCAGTCTTAGTAAATGGTACTCGTACTGACTACTTCTCCCCTTCTAGGGGTATTAGACAAGGCGATCCGATGACCCCCTATATTTTTATTCTTTGCATGGAACTTCTCTCGAATTACCTTAATTACCAGGTTGACATTTTAAATTGGAACCCGGTTAGCCTTAGTCCCAAAGGTCCCTCCTTATCCCATCTTTTTTTTGCGGATGACCTTACCCTCATTGCTAGAGCAAACACCAAATCAATCATAAATATGCACACCAGTATGGATTATTTTTGCCAGCTTTCTGGCCAGAAAATTAATTCCTTGAAGTCCAAAGCCATTTATTCTAATAATTGTATTCTCTCCATTCCCATATTAGTTCAAAAACTATTCAAAATCAACCCTAAGACCAATTTTGGGAAATATCTTGGCTTTCCAATCCTTAATCGAAAACCCAAAGCTACGGATTTCCAATCTATTATTGATAATATGATAAACAAGCTCTCCTCTTGGAAAACCAATTTTCTAACTCCGACAGGCAGACTCATCTTAGCTCATACTACGCTCAATAGTATTCCCTCATATTCTATGCAATATCTCTCATTACCTACAAAAAATTTCCATCGCATTGACCAAATTCAGAGGAATTTTCTTTGGGGTACCACTGCGCAAAAAAGAAAGATCCACTATATATCTTGGGACATTGTTACTACACCTAAAAACTCTGGAGGTTTGGGTCTTCATAAAGCTTGTCAGAAAAACATTTCCCTCCTTGCTAGTCTCGCTTGGAGATTCCTCACAAATCATAAATTGTTATGGACTCGAACACTCTCTAACATCCATAACCTTCATAAAAGCAATACCTCAGCATCCTTTATTTGGAATAACATTAATCTTGGAAGAAATGTTTGCTCCAACGCCATTACGTGGACCCCCTTCGCAGGCCTTAACATTAACTGTTGGCATGATAGTTGGATCCCATCCCTACCGCCTCTTAGACAGATCATCCACAACCCATTTAAAAAGGGGAAGACAAGCTAGTTCTTTCAAATCTCTGGGATGGTGCTGGTTGGGATTGGTCTAGAATTTCTTTCAACCTCAATAACAACATCACCGATAAAGCAGCCACCACTCGACTCAATCCTAACATAGATGTTGATATACCTCACTGGTCCATTAACTCCAATGGAGTTTTTTCAACCAAATCTATCTACAATTTGATCAACCCCGTCCCTTTAAATACTTCCCCCTCTTCCTGGGTTTGGAAGATCAATACCCTTAATAAAATCAAATTCTTCCTTTGGCTGTGCTCTTACGATAGGCTTCCCATGAAAAAGTACCTCCATCAATTGGGTATCTCTTCTGATCCTCTCTGTCCTGTCTGTAAAAACGAAACTGAAAGCGTTGAGCACATCTTCCTTCACTGCTTCGTTTCTAAAAAAGTTGTCTTGATATTAGTCTAAATTTAACTAATCTTCCATTAGCTAACAATGACTGGCTCTATACCCTCAAAATTTTTTGTGCCCCTTGTCACAGCATCCATTACTCCTGGGAAGATTTCTTTCCCTTTGTCCTCTGGCATATTTGGTTGAACCGTAGCAACAACATCTTTAGAAACAAGTCAAATTTAATCTCCGTACAAGACATACGAAGTCGTACTCTTGAATTCAAATTATGTACTGATAACCAGGATAATAATAGCAAAAGAACCATCCTTATCAATTGGATTCACCCTCCTTCTGGCAAATTTAAAATGAATATAGATGGGGATTTTCGTCAAGGGGATAATACTGCTAGCATAGGTGGAGTTATCCGTAACCACAAGGGTGACTGGATCACAGGTTTCTTTTATATGAGTATGGCTCAAAATCATACTACAGCAGAAATTGAAGCTTTCCACACTGGCCTCATGTTAGCAGACTCTCTCAAATTAGGCAACCTTGAGATTGAGACAGACTTGTCCGAAATTCTCCAACTTATGGATCATGCTAAACCACCTTATGATGTTATTATCTCTGTTTGCAGGTCATTATTGAAGAAGTTGCAGAATCCGGTGGTCCGCCATAGCTTCAGGCAAGGAAATTATGTAGCAGATATATTAGCTAAGCAAGGCTCCAGGCTAACAAACTACGATAAGACTACTCTTTTGCATATCCCTCCAGACTGTGTTAAGGATCAACTTGCTAAAGACAAGAATGGGGTTACTTCTACTAGAACTATTAAGTCTTCTACTTGTAATAAGTCAGCCCGATTTGGTAACCTTGTTGTAACTACTAACCCTTATAGGGTCATTGTCTCCAACTCTCCTGTAACCTCTTGGGTAATCTCTATCACTTTTTCAATTTCTTGATATTCGTGATAAGATATTTTATTTCTTGCAAAAATTCTGAATTTTCTTCATCCTTTTGTATTTCTTTATTCTGATTCATTGGAATCTGTAGAATATTATTCATATAACTCTTCAAAGAAGTCTTCACATCCTATAGATTTTATTGACTCAAGATCTGAATCAATTTCAGTTCTGTCAATTTTTGATATTTTTACTCTTATTTTGTTACATTCGTAACTTTTATGGCCTTCTTCGCTACAATTATAACACTTGCATTTTTCTACAGGTTTTGTTCTTTTAAAATCTTTTTTCTTTTTATAATATCTCTTTCTGGGTATATAATTTTGTTTTGAAATATTTTTTCTTTTTATTAAACCTTTTTTAAGTTTTCTTTTTTTATAAGGTTTATCATCGTTGCATCCCCATTGAGTGGCTGCATTTGTGTCTAAACAATAAATTTGTGTATTTATTCTTTTAGCTTTTCTTTGTATGTTATGTGACATACATAATTGACCTAGTCTATTTTTTAAGAATGAAACTTGTTTAATACCAAAAATATAAATGCCAAAAGAAACTTCTTTTAAAGTATCTGTTTTCATTGAAATCACTTTCTATGATACCAAAATAACAACCTGTTGCCAAATAGACAACAGAATGATTGGAATTACGGGAGACAAAGAAAAGCTCTCTCAGTCAAAAGAAAAGGTAGAAATAATTTTAGGATCTAAAATTGTTTCTATAAATAAATTATTTGCCTACGATAAACTGAAAATAGATTTATTATTGGGAAATGATTTTTTACAACAATTTCAGGATTATCATCAAACATTGTATGATAAGCCTCAAAACCCCTTGCGGACATTTTATCAAAGTCCCAAGAAAACAAAATCCTTACATAATTGAAAAGAATAACAAAAGAAGACACTTAGAGAGCCTAAGGAAAATCTCTTAGATTTTACTCTAGTAAAACCTATCTGATATTTAGAAAAGGAAACCTTAGTAGCAATACTACATGTAATTAAAAAATTAGATGAAGACTTAAACAGAAAAGGAAAAAAAAAAATAATATATATATATATATAAATATCTTATTAACCAAAAGAAAAACTTTCAACATGTCACCTATTTGTCTTAAAAGTTAAAAATAATGTTGTTTTGGTCATTTCACCCTTCAAGCTGAAATGCATTTTTAGGCTAGATACGTGTCTTACCTATTGCTTATGAATAGACACGTAGCAATTCCTTCATCTCTCCTCTGCTACTATGTTGCTCTCTATCTCCTCTGTTTAAAAACAAAACAAAGAGCAAGGAATTGCAGAGAAGATTGTTGCTACTATGGTGCTCTTCTCTGTTTTTTCTGCGTCTGATATTTTATCAGGTAAATAATTATTATCTTTAGTTTTTGGGATTTCTCTTCATATTTGGGGCACAGATTTCATAAGTTTTCACTTGTCACTCCTTCGCACAAGCCACCACATGTATTTATTTCTCGATTAGAAGTTAGTTGGCCAATAATTCAAGAGCCCCTTTAAATTTAATCTCAGGTTTTTTTTCTTCTAAATACAACTGTTTTTTCCTTATACATCATTTAGAGGTAATTAAATTAGCTATATTTGAGATAGGTTTTGCGAAGTATTTGTTTTATTGATTGAAAAATTCTAAAATTAGGAATATGTGTGTTTTTCCATGGAACACATATGTGCAACTCTTTTTTTTTGAAAATCCCTATCTACTTTGGGACTAAATTAAATTACAACAATATTTCATCCAATAGTTTGTTTCATCCAATAGTCGGCAAAATTAATTAAATTACAACAATAATTTCATCCAATAGTTTAAAATATCATAAAGGACTCCCATTTAGCTCTGAAACATGATTGTACTTGAAAATTTAAGTTTTTAAAGTTGTTATTTTCTGAATTTGACTTTTTTGAGGATTTACAAGTTATATTCGAGTAATTTGGTGAATGAAATTTCAGTTCAACTCCTTTAATTTTAATGGGACAGTTTTTAATGTTGCTTTTGTTTGAGATAATCATTAGTGAGTGCATAAATGGACAGTGAATACTGCAAATTGTGAAGATATGACACCTGGGCTAACTTAACCTCAAAAGCTAACTCATTAGTGGAGGTTTTTCCAAGTTCATATAAGGAGACAAATTTCTCTATCTCTTTACTGATGTGGAACTTCTTAAAATTAATGTGATCTCTTTTACCAATGTGAGCTTGTGAATTTGACTTCTTTCTAAATGTAAGAGTATTAGTCATGTTTACATATGATATGTATCTTGAATACTAAATTTGCTGGAGCAGTGTACTGTTTGATTGGCTTAGTTTTTGTAAGATAAATTTGCATTTGATTCTTGAATGATTATTTTGCTAGAGCAACTTCCTATTTGATTGCATTTTGTGGTTTCAAGTGCATGCAGGGCTGGTACTAATTTCCTGAAACAATGACACTAGGAAAGAAACTTGCTGATCCTTTTAATTTGAGTGTTCTATAAAATAGAACAACTAAGCACAACTGCATTTATGTGATAATAGGATATATTAAATAGAATTGTTGGTTTCGGATCGTGAAAGAATATTATTATATGTCATTACTTATTTTTTTAAATATGTATCTCAAGGTATCCAGTAGAGTTATTAGAGGATCTGCTATATTTTTTTCGATCTTGCCATGAGGACAAACATCGAGCATATACCTGCAAAGACGTTATGAAAATAGAGATATTTTAAACATCATATAAGTTGCTTGTATTAAAATTTAACAACTCAATTTGTATTGTATCATCTGTATGTTATTGCTAGAGATGATTTATTACTTATGCTATTGGGAAGTTGTATTTAAATTATAAATATAGCTCTATTCCACTTTTGATCAAATAGAGATTCAATTTGTAACAACTTATTCCTCCCTTTTTAATATTACTGTGGAAGTATTATAGCATTACCGAAAATCAAACATGTCATATTATTGTCTGATGATATGTTAAAATTGTATTCTCAGTTGAGTTCCTGAATAGCTTAATACTTCCTTCAAGCAATCATCTGTGATTAATAATATTTTGTTGGGCCATATTTTTCTAGTTATCTTATAATAGACACTATACAAATCATTAATTATACCTATTTGATGTTATGTTACAGAAGCCTTGTACTCATTAAACAATTCGGTGGTTAATCGTTTACAGAGAAACATACCCGCGAAAGAATGCATGGTTGATCTTTGATGTTACAGTTTTCTCGCCTCAAACCCTTATTCTTTCATAGGGATGGCAATGGGGCGGTGTAGGGCGGGGGCGGTGCGGGTTGAGCTTAACCCACAAAATTTTTAATCCGCCCTGCCCCGCTTCGCTTCACATAACAATTGTTTTCACTTCAATCCGCCCCATTCCGCCCCCGCATAATTTTTTTAATATTTTCTTTTTCTAGTTATGTTTGATACTAAAAATAAAATTCATAAAAATAAATTCATTTTTTCATTAAGTTGTATTAATTTAATAATAGGATAGTGACTTAAAATTTTATTTTTTAGAGGTCAATTAGGAAACATGTAAGAAATTGTATTATTTTTTAATGAACAATTTCATTTATTATCTTGAATATTTTAGTAGCTTTAATGAAATTATCTTAATAAATAATGCTCTATCACTCTTATAACATGTAAAAAATTAAAATTAAGTTTGAACTCACATAAAATCACATATACCCGCAACCCTCCCCACCCCACATTAATTTTAAAAAATCCACTTCAATCCGCCCCACACAATCTTAAACCCGCCCCACCCCACATTGCCTTAAACCCACCCCGCCCCATTGCCATTCCTATTCTTTCTACAGAATATTTACTCTTTAATTATTATATATGACCAACTATAAAAATGGTAAAAGTGACCTACTATTAATTTTACTGTTATTTCCTTTAATCACCAACTAAATAAATTATTAAAACTATCCACTAATTTCATAATTATAATTACGAATAGTTCAAAACACCTATTTAGAATCTATCGGAAAGTATTTTATGAAATCAAAGCTTTAGTACTCAAAACAACCAAAAGGGTCGTTACACTTACACCTCGTTTACTTAAGAGAATGGATCTATATTTTTAGCATTTATCAAAAGTTCTCATTCTTCATGAATGGAACACAATCATGTGAGCATATCAAATTATGATAGCTTTAGTACCTCATTCCATATTCATGTGCATTATTCAATCACTTGTCCTTTTTTCAGACATATTTTGTACTGCTACCACATTCATTTTCGGGAATGGAGCGATTTCAATAAGATTGGTTTCATGACTAATTTTAATTGAAAGCACAATGTTTGCTTTAATAGTCAACATATCATTAATATGGTGCATTGGTACTCAAATCACTACAAGAAAATCAACCTCTAAGAAAGGAAAATCTAGTCCCTGAATGTTTAAATCTAGTCCCTGAAATTGAAATCTGGTCCCAAACGAGCAATCGTGACCAGAAAAACCTGATCGCCACTCGTCCTAGAAAGTGTCGTCACTACTGGTCACTAAGGACGAGTTCAAAAAACTGGTCCCTGAATGTCTTTGAGAGGAGAAAAAACACTGGTCGTGAAACACTTTTAGAGACTGCATATCTAGTCTCAAATGGACCATTGATATCTTGGTTTTTCAGGTCGTTAATCCTCTTTTGCGACCTTCCGCAACATAGTCCCAATAACTCTTTAGAGACGAGTGTGATCTGGTCCTAGAATAGCTTTAGAGACCATTAGCAATCTGCTCATAGAATAGCTGTAGCGACAATAACAAACTGGTCCTAAAGTAGTTTTAGGGACGAACAACAACCTAGTCCTAGAGTAGTTTTAGGGACGAACAACAACCTGATCCTAAAATAGCTTTAAAACGAACATCATATCTAGTCGTAGATTGACCATTAGAGAAAGTCAATAATTATGATCTCTAACTAATCACCATTGATCCTACAACCATTGATATCACAAGAATCTAACAAAATATCAAATTAATTACACAACTAAAATTCTGGATACAAAAGAAGATATAGAAAGGTTTGCAGGGCAATAGAAATAAAGAGTGCGATTGATTATAATAAATTTGTGAGCATCACAAGATGTAAGTTTCAATATTTTCTTAATTAATAAACAAAAAAACTAAGATAACATCCAAGGTTTTGCATAACATTCATAGCAAAGTAAGAATAAGTTGGTGCATCTTCCAAGCTATAATTCATTGAAGAATGAACAAAAGTTGGGCAAAAACTATAAAGTTTAGTCTTTGTCATGTGATATCCAGAAACATCTACAAAACCTGCAAGAAATAAGAAAAAAATCTATTAGAAAAACTTTCAGATACATCAATCAAGAAACCAATATCTATTTTGGAGAACCACACCTAACTAACGTTTAGTAAAAAATAGAAATAAATGGATAGAAAAGATAGCTTAAGAGACAATTTGGATGAACTATTTGGAAGTGAAACTTAGCTGATTTTGTAACAAATTAAAGAAAACTGTATGTGATAATAATATTTTAGGCTATAGCCTTTGCTGCACATGTGTAGATAAATTAACAACAGTGATACGAATGCATTGGGACAACCATGAAGATTGAGGCGATGTCCAAAATATAAGAACAAGAATTTTGACGGACACTTACGAGTTGATACAAGGAAACAACAGAGAAGGAATTTTATGGCCAATCTAAATCATTGGAGCTGAATGAAAATAACATATACACATGCAAGATTAGTCATGTATTACTATGAATTGAGAAAAATAATTGCATTTCATTTGTATCTGAACCTTGTAATATTTGCTATTAGTAATTTGTGTATGTTCATGTTGTTGAAACAGTAGAATGCTTCATCAGTCAATTGCCCAATCATGTGGAGCATTCTTGTTGCTAAAAGAGCAATAGGGTAATACCACTACTTGAATTTTTATAACATGAATCAGAATCTTATATACTGGAGACACAAGGAACCTTAACAACAAAAATGAATGAGTCTTTAAGCTCTATAATTGTGCAGTTGTCCTAGAATTCATCGGAGGAATGAAAAAACAATCTGAAACAGTTTATTCAATTGGAGTGAACTTTTTTTTCAAGCTTCTTCATAGTGTAAAAAGCGAGATGGATGAAGTAATGGAACCTTAAGAGCAGAGTCCCAGTGTTGTCCCTAGCTAATAGCATCATAGAGAGCCTCCAAAACTGCCTTGGGCCAAAGATTAGTGTACTTTTCTGAGTTGGCTTTCCTCTCGATACCTCTAATAGCGGCTTTTGTTCTACGTATACGAGAAAGGTTTTTCTTTCAACATTTCTGTAGCCCTTGCGACTGCCATGAAGATTGAGGGGATGTCTAAGATATAAGAACAAGAATTTTGACGGACACTTACGGGTTGATATAAGGAAGCAACAGAGAAGGAATTTTATCGCCAATCTAAAACAGAGAAGCTTGTAACAATGTTATGTTGCTTGCTGTGTAGGAAATTTTACGTTAAGTAGAGATATACACCCGACACTTACCAATAAGCCTCTCTAGGCGCACGATAACGTGAATTGTTATCTTGTGCATGGTGGCCGAAATGGCAAGAGGGAGGACGAGAAAATCCAGCATCGAGAAGCCATTGATGGATTTTCAACAGCAAGAAAAGAATGTGAACCATAAAAAACAACAGTTTGGATTAAGGGAAAGCCAGCCAATCAAACAGTGGCCTTCGCTACCTGAGATGGATGTTGCTAGGGAGCTGCCGAAGAAGGTTAGAGTCAAGGATCCTAACTTTACGTGGCAAACCTGTTATGTTGTAGCAGTGCAGAAAATTTAAAAATAAGCTTTGTGTAGTTATGCAGAAAATTGTAAAACAGAGAAGCTCGCAGCAATGTTACGTGGCAGCACTGTTACGTTGCAACAGTGCAGAAAGGATATCTTAAGAGATAAGCAGGATGAACAACAATCGGACAGAACATGGTAAAACAGAGAAGCTGGTAGCAGTGTTGCAGCAGTGTAGAAAATTTAAAAACAAAGTTTGTGCCGTTATGCAGAAAATGAAAAACTGAGCCCATCACAATTAAAGAAAGTTGTGCATATATTCAAAAACAGATCCCATCTCTACAACCACTAATTCTAAAGAAAAATAATTAAAAAGTCAAGTATATTGTTACTAACTTGGTCAGCTGAAAAGGCAGTGGCCATTCAATTGAAACGGATGATGTTGTAGGTGGGACATGTGATTGCTGAGCAACGAAGAATTCTTTCATATTCATTATCCCTTTCATCTTATCGTCTATGGTAGACAAGCGATCATTCAAAGATTTGTTTTCCTCATTCAAGGATTTGTTTTCTTCATTCAAGGATTTGATATCCTCTCGAGTTGAACGTAGTGCGGACAATAATTTAGCCTTTGAAGAAGTTCCACCTTTCAAGTCTTTTGCCTTTACTCCACCCCCTAATCCAAATACATGGCTACGAGTTTGAGGTCCACAACATTCTTCAGTATGTATATATGTGCTTGTTCTAATTCATCCGCTTCAAGCTCACATGGATCTTTAGCTCGTATAGTTCTTCCAAGTTGAATAAAGATAGATAAACCACCATTTAATTGTTTTAAACCAC